GTGTGTGTGTGTGTGTGTGTTTGTGTGTATGTATATATATATATGTTTCAGCAGTTCTAATTTTTTACCGAACTAACACATGACTAATGTTGCACGTGGAGGAAAGGAAGCTCCCTCTGGCGCAAGTATGATATCCTTAGACTGTAAGTACTTTGGGGCTGGTGTCTTTTTCGTTTTTGGCGTTGAGCATTCCCTGCCTTCACACATCGTGTATCTATCATCTTGCACACGTTCCTGCAGTTTCTACGGAACACAAAGCTAAAAATACATATGTTACGAACACTTCGGAGTTTTCTTATTTCCACTCAGTGCTCTTAGAAGAGTTGCTTAGAGAGAGAGAGAGAACGGATAGTATCACATACATAAAGGTTAAGTTCTCTAGTGTTAGTACGTTGAAACCAATTGGCATAATCAGGTGGTTAAGAAAGTCTAGAGGTTACGTGAGTTTATTACCTAGTATCTTCAAACCCACGAAATGTGACACTCCATCAGAGAGAAAACTACTTTATGGGCATAATTTGTATCATACGTAAGAGTTTCTATGTGGCTTAAGTAATACTTTAAAGCAGGTTCCTTAACTGAGAACTATAATATATGTAGCTGAACACTCGTAACAACTGAAATCTTACTGAGTGTACTGATTTGACAGTCAGCGTTGTCATGGAGATCAAGATATTAGCATACGTTTTTGTAAGATTTCAGTACAGTTCAGTAGAAAACACTTCACCAGACTTGTAACAGTCTTCTTTGACAGCAAGGTAATCGAAGTTCAAGTTACTGCAGCTTTGGAAAGATTAATCAAATAGTGTTTTGTGAAGTTAAAATTGAAATGAGAATATGTAGTGTAGAAATAAAGGTTAGCGCTTAAGGAGCATTTTTTTTTGTAGGTGGATTAATCATCATTTTAGAACTGCAGCAAATAATGACATTGTGAAGATGGAGTTTTTGGAACGTTTTTCTTAAAGTGTTCGATTTTAAGTTTGCCAAGCAACAAATCGGCAATCCTATATTATCATAGATTGGAAATAAAAGTGTAGAACACTTCACAAAACGACCTCTTTATTGTGTGAAATCAAATAAGGAAAAATGTGTTTAGCAGTATCAGGACTGCAGTCAATCAGAGTGGAATGAATGTACAGTGCATACTGTTATGAACCTTTTTATTCGTTTATACCTCTGGTAAATAGTGCTCGTCAAAATAAAATGCCGTTATCACGACAAAGTGGCCGAGAGCGGAGTAGTCACTCTCCGGGAAGCAGTATCTACCGGCGGCAAGGAGGGAGGCGAGATTCAGGTCTGCGTCCTGCCAGCTCCTTTAAACGTCAACATAGCATCCGAAGTAAGGATTAAAAAAAATGACAGTATTTGGTTTATTATGAGCTAAATGTAACGTTTCATAATGTTTAAATATAAGGACATCCTGAAAGAAGATAACGTAATTTGTTAGAGTTTCTGCATTTTAATAACAGTTGATTTTTGTCAATATGGGATTGATATATTCCTAGAAAGTTAAAGTCATTTAATAAAACAGTGAAAACTATAAACATACATAAAACTTCTATAATAAAAGCATGAAAACATACGTAACTATTCCTCAAGAAACACGTGAAGAATGTGTGTGTGTGTGTGGTGCGTGTTTGGTATTCTGTAATTGTGGGTCCTGTTTACATTAGAAGCTTTAAACACTCAAGTTTATGTCCTGGATTATTACCTGAAGTAACGATTACCACTAGCTGTCACAGAAGAATATGGAACTTTTATTAACAAAACACTGGCAGGATATTTCAAAAGGTTTAATGGTTTTTCGTTGTATTTATATTAAGAGATTCTGTGTAACCCTTTTTGTTCGTTTGTTGTTGTTTTTTCAGAACGCCTTTGTTCTTACATTAAGTTTTATTTACGAGATTCTGTAAAATATCTTCTTAGCACTCCTGTAGTAAGAGATTTTCTACTTTGTCTGGTCAGCATGCTTTTGTTAATAAATATCACCGTAACATTTCTTTAGTAACAGATTATATAAAATATACCACACTAGCATCCATTTAGAAACAGATTATATAAACTATATCACACTAGTGTTCCTCTAGTAACAGATTATATAAACTATATCACACTAGTGTTCCTTTAGTAACAGATTATATAAAATATACCACACTAGTGTTCCTTTAGTAACAGATTATATAAAATATACCACACTAGCATTCCTTCAGTAGCAGATTATATAAACTATATCACACTAGCATCCATTTAGTAACAGATTATATAAACTATACCACACTAGCATTCCTTCAGTAACAGATTATATAAACTATATCACACTAGCATTCCTTCAGTAACAGATTTCGCACTTTGGGGCTGTTAGTGCATTATAAGAGTGACTGTCAAATCCCACTGTACGATCTAAGTAGACCAAGAGTTGGCGATGGGTAGTACCTTCCCTCTAGTCTATCACTTTCAAATTAGGGACGGCTCGGCAGATAGTCAAACAAACAAACTGACAAACAATTCCGTAAGTTCGCAGAAATATTTGAAATGTCCTGTTTGTCGTGATATCTATTCGCAGGAAATTCCATTCTTTATTTTATGCAATACCATTGGAAAATTAGTAGGTACTGTGATTTTAGAGTACTATTTTTAGACGTCGTTATACCATAGCTTGAGTTATGTATCATAACCTGCAAAAATTTGTCAGGGAAAAGCAAGGACTGTGTTGTTAACTTTTTTAAAAATGTGCATATTTGGCACAGCCTCAGTTCTTTTTTTAATCTAACAGTTGTCAAAACAGTGGTAAGTACAAGCGGCCTCATCGAAGCTAAGAAATGCTCAGAACTTGAATGTAATCCAAGTTTTCTCAGACATTACGGAAGCTTTCGTAGCTGTAGGTTAAATTGGCATTCACTACGTTTACTGACTGTAGGCCATTTCCCTTTCCAGATCTGGATGTTTTTGACCTTTTTTAGTTTTCATGACGCAGTTCAGTTGGCTTCGATAATACATTAATGTTTTGTGTACCATTATAATTTGAAGTCGTTATCCTGTTCGAAGCTCAGTTATCCTGTGTATTGTTATAACGAATTGTTTTAGAAAGTACCAACGATAAACACTTCTTTGCGGTCATCAGTTGACTCCTAAAGACTGTTTTATGCATTGTTATAACTTGGATCTGTTCTAAAAAGTATTAACAATAAACACTTCTTTGCAGTCATCAGTTGACTCCTAAAGACTGTTTTATGCATTGTTATAACTTGGATCTGTTCTAGAAAGTATTAACAACAAACACTTCTTTGCAGTCATCAGTTGACTCCTAAAGACTGTTTTATGCATTGTTATAACTTGGATCTGTTCTAGAAAGTATTGACAATAAACTTTGCTTTTTTGCGGTCATCAGTTGACTCCTAAAGACATTTGTGCATTGTTATATGTAGGAGTTGTTCTAGAAATACAATAAACACCGCTTCTTTGCGAAGTTGACTCTTAAATACTGTTTTGTGTACTGTTAAAACTTGATGTTACCATAGAAAGGACCAACCGCAAAGATCTTTTCAGTTCGAAGCTCATTTGTCTAGAATAAAAGTTATACTGTTGGTTCATTGTTTGAATTACAAAGTCTTGTTCAAGTCGTGTTAACGCTTTGTTGTCAAACTAACAACATTCACAAATGAAAGTCTACTCAATTAAGCATTTCATATTCAAATTAGAAGTTCTGGAAAAGCATATTGTGTTTAATATATATATAAGTTTTGTATGTTATACGTGTTTTGTCCAATTAATGATAAAACGAAAACATGCAAGGGATGGTATATCGCTTGAAGTCAATGCACCCTCGAACCCATAATATGTAACCTTACATTTTTTTTTACCTGTTTACGTGATTGAAAGGATTTTTTTTGTGTACCTAGTATTTTAATTTAATAACCAAATTAATACGTGGGAAATATATTCAAAATATACTGAAAACAAACAGGTTGAACTTAAAAGGTGCCTTTATGGATCCAAGTGTACTCTTCGACCATTTGAGGATTCATCAAAATCTACTCTTGAGCAGAAAAAGTTATGACACTCACTAAAAGCCTTTTCAAATATAAAAACATTGACTTGTATTTTATGTCGACATCGTTTTTAATATACTGGGAGTGGAAGGGTATGTTTTTTATATACCGGGAGTGAAAAGTCTGGTAGTGATATTAATTTAACAACATGTAGGTACACTTTTAATACTATAAAGATCAGTTTAGAAATTAAAATATAAAAAAAAGAAACAAATCACAAGCAATCCACAATAGACAACGGATTCCGTTGCATCATGGCCATAAGGGATAGAAGCACGTCTTGACGCCATAAATTATATATATATATATATATATACCAGTATGGTGAAGTCATACCGTATTCCTAGTGCAGAATCTCGCAGTCTTAGGTTACCTGCTTCAACGATCGTTTTCATTATACATTTTCAAAGGAGATAAACCTTGAAAAAAAGGCTGCTTACAAAGCCCTACCTTGAGTACCCTGCACTCTAGTTGGACAGTGATACAGAAACAGAGTCAAACAAGTATAAGCATTCCGAATAACCGTTATGGCATGTAATCCTTGCCTAAGATCGAGAATTAGTGCAAGTTTACAAACGTTTAATCTTGCTTACGAGAATTTCATTGACACAATATCTTCACACAAATTTTGAAGAAACTGTATGTCTAAATAAAGATTTATTGATTTCTAGTTGTAGAAAAGTGAAATATATAGCAGCTTTTCAATTGTGGTGGTATTTCATATATTTTTAGTTACCGTATTTTTCGGTGTATAAGACGCACTTTTGTACCCCAAAATTTGATGTCAAAATCTG